TGTGTGAGGATTAGTTAGCTTTTTTTTAAAGACATAAATAGGGGGCTGGAGGGATGTCTCAGCTGTTAAGAGCACCCACATGGCAGTTCACAACTGTCTATAATGCCAGTTCCAAGGGATCTGACACCTTCACACTAATGCACATAAAACTAAATAAATTATAAGAGACATCAATAAATAAAATAAGGTCAGGGTTTGGGGATGTAGTATTGTGGCAGGGCATGCACCTCTTAAGATTCTAGGACAGAAGTAACGCATTTGTGCATGGCGAGGACATGTAGGGCTGTATGAAGATCGGTTAGTGTTGTTTGTGTTTTGATTTTTTTTTAAGTATGTCTGAGTGTTTTGTTTGAATGTACGTCTGTGCACCACACTTGTGCCTGGTGACCTAGGAGGCCAGAAGAGGGATTCAGATCCCCTGGAGCTAGAGTTATGGATGTTGTGTGTCACCCTCTGGGTGCTGGGACCCAAGGGGGGAGGGGTCCCCTGCAAGACCAGTACATGCTTTTTTTTTTTTTTTAACTGTCGAACCATTTCTGAATTCCTGTTGAGTTTTTTAAAATTTTTCAAATTATTTTTAGTTATGTGTTAGGGACATGCAATCAGTGCCCACAGAGAAAAAGGCATCAGTAACTCAATTCCAAGGGAATCTCAGAGTCTTCTGAGCTCTGAGTTCACAAGGCATGCCTGTGGTATACAGACAGACAAGCAGGTAAAACACTCATAGAAGTGTCATAAAAGAAATATATTTTTTTTAATTTTTTGAAACAGGTTTCTCTGTGTAACCCTGGCTGTCCTGGAACTTGGTTTGTAGACTGACCAGGCTGGCCTCCAACTTAGGGATCTATCTGCCTCTGCTTCCTGAGTGCTAATATTAAATGCCTTTAATATTAATTTGCCTGGTGGACAGGCAAATGCCAGTACTTAGGTGAGGGCAAGAGGATCAGGACTTCAGGTCATCTTCAACTAGTGAGTTTTAGGCCAGTTCTGGCTACATGAAACTCTGTCTTAGGGAAGAGGAGATGGCTTAGAGAATAAAAGTGTTTGCTCCTAAACCCAGTGACTTAATTCTGATCCCAAGGATCCTTGGTAAAAGGAGAAAACCAACTCTTATAACTTATCCCTCTGGCCAGGCCTTTAATCCCAGCACTTGGGAGGCAGAGGCAAGCAGATCTCTGAGTTCGAGGGCATTCTGGTCTACAGAGTTAATTCCTGGATAGCCAAGGCTACACTGAGAAACCCTGTCTCAAAACGTGGCCCCTTAAAACACACACACACACACACACACACACACACACACACACACAAGTGTAATAAAACTTTTGTGAGATTGTTTCAAACAACAACAAAACTCTTTAAAAAGACTAGAAACAACAAGTGTCCTTAAGTGCTGTTGTAGGAGTAGACAAAAGCTTGTAGCAATCACATATCTCAAATGTACCTTACAGACAACCTAGCACATATGTCTAACCTCATGGAGATTTTTAGTAGCAAAATATCTGAATAAATTTGGCCCAATGGAAGGTTGGTGAAATAAATTAAGATGTAGTTATTCAACGAATTACGCCAGTGCAAAAAACAAAAAACAAACAAACAAAAAACAAGTCAGGAGATGATGGTGCATGCCTTTAATCGCATTTGGGAGGCAGAGGCAGGTGGATCTCTGTAGACCAGGTGAGTTCCAGGAGACAGACAGAGCTACACAGAGAAACTCCATCTCGAAAAACCAAAAGAACAAAAACCAAACAAACAAAACAGTCAGATGTGGTGATGCTGTGCGATGTTGTGAGGAGGACAGAATTGCTGGGATGTAGTCCCTGAGGTAAAGTGCTTGCCTAGCACAGATAAGCTAGGTGTGGTGTGCACACCTGTAATGCCTGCATTTAAGAAGTATTTGCAGCTGGAGAAATGGTTCAGCAGTTAAGAGCATGGGCTGCTCTTCCAGAGGTCCTGGGTACAATTTCCAAAATCCACATGGCGGCTCACACCTGAAGCCCTATGCAATCTAATGCCCTCTTCTGGTGTGCAGATATACACGAAGACAAAAGACCCATATGACCCATATACATTAGATAGATAGATGAGAAAGAGATGTAAGGTAGGTAAAGGCAGGAGGATCAGGAGTTCAAGGCTAGTGCTGTCTGTATAGTCAGACCTTGTCTCAAAAACAAAACAAACCAAAAACGAACAAAAAAACTGTTAAGGAATATTATATTAAGTACTACCAGTGTCAGCACTGAGCTTTCCCATGCAGTGTTTAATTTTCCAACTCAATCCAACATCTACCTGTCCCTTTCTCTACCTTGTAAACAGACCCCTGACTTTGGAGTTTCCCTCTGCTTCATTTTACCAGCAGTGATAATGAAACCACATGCCAACCAAGTGGCCTATATATCGGTCTTCTGTGTGCCCCTCATGAGATACATGCTTTTGGTGATTTGTAAATTTACAAACCTGCTCAGAAACACTATACCAGCATACTTACCTGCAGCCAGAATAGCAGAGGTTTGGGGATAATTAATGTCAGCCAGGTGGCTAGTTGGCGCTTTCCTTAATTTTTAAAATTTCTGTACTGGGTCTCATCCAGGGCCTTTGCAACTGCCAAACCAGTGCTCAACCACTGAGCTCCACTCCCCATAGTTCTTCCTTTTTTTTCAAGACAGAGTCTCACTATGTAGCCATGGCTAGCCTGGAACTCACAGTGCAGATCAGGCTAGCCTTGAACTTACAGAGATCGCTGCCTGACTCCCTAGTGCTGGGATTAAAGCCACGTGACACCATGCCTGGCTCTGTATCATTCTTGTCATAAGTATCACACAGATGTTGAGGAGAATAAGAATTTCTATCAAAACGGCAAAACTTCTGGTATAATACACCCAACAGTATTACGAACTGTCATGTGTGGAGAAGTGATTCATCTTCATATACATGTTTATAAATTCAAATAACATTAAGAAATTCAACACTTGGGGGATGGAGAGATGGCTCAGCGGTTAAGAGCACTGAGTGCTCTTCCAGAAGACCTGGTCTCAGTTCCCAGCACCCACATGGCAACTCAAACTGTCTACAATTCCAAGACCTGAGCCTCACACAGACATACAAAAAGACAAAACACTAATACAATAAAAAATAAAAACAAATTGTTTTTAAAAATCCAGTATTTACCGAAGTGCTCAGACATACAGGCGGGGGAAACATTTATACACTTAATATTTTTTTTAAATGTTTAAAGGAGCCCTTTCAAAGGCTGGGCGCCACTGTCCAACCATGTTTGAGTTTTTAGCAGGCTTAGTAGTCACACCACTTTGGAGGTTGAAGCAGGATTGCTGTGAGTTAGATACTAGTCCGGGCTACACAGTGAGTAGTCTAACTGGGCCACAGAATCCTTGTTTCAAATACAAAATTTTGTTTCAAATTAAAAACACAAAACAACAACAAAAAACCCACGGGGTCTTCAAATCTGTTTCAATGACCTAGGCCCTAAGAATGGACTAACTCTTGAGTCTCTTCAACGCCCAAAGCACCAATCGCCTTGCTCCTAAAGCTATCTAGTAATCCTACCGACCACACTCGCTCCCCTTCTGGGGGTTTGAACCACCACGGTACCGGGAAAGGGTCCTTTTCCTGTGTTCACACACCTACGGATTAAAAAAAAAAAAAAAAAGCAAGAACATGAAATTGGGAAACCTCGCGAGAGTGTGAGGGAAGCATCTCGGAGAACAGGAGCCAGCGACACCCCGCAAAGAGAGGCCGGTGCCTCTGCTTCCTGTCACGCCCAGACCAATACTGAGGCCAAAGCATCCTTCACACAAGACCTGGGGGACTTTTCCTGCACATGAGGCCGCGCGACCGTCACGCTTCGGGGCTTTGGTGGAGGCTCGGCAACGGGCGGCGACCTCAACGGAACCTTAAGATTCAGAGCGCCGATTACCAGAGAACAAATTTTTCCGATGCGCAATGACGCCGCAATTGGGCGTGGCGGGAAGGGCTTAGAGAGACTAGCGGCCGATTGAGCCAATCAACGAGCGCTATCAGAGCCGCAGTCCAATGGAAGTGCCCTTTGGGCACGCTAAGGGCGGGCCAGGTGCGTAAGACTTTTCGAGAAGACCCGCATAGAGCACGTTGTTCTCGGCCTCTCCCTGAGCTAGGCCAGCATGGCGGCGGTGAAGAGCCTAAACCCTAAGGCCGAGGTGGCCCGGGCTCAGGCAGCGCTGGCGGTGAACATCAGCGCGGCGCGGGGCTTGCAGGATGTTCTGAGGACCAACTTGGGTCCTAAGGGCACCATGAAGATGTAAGGCCGGGCCGACGGGAGGGCGGGCCTGGCGGGTCAGGCTGGGCTGGCGGGAAGGGAGGGCCTGCAGGGTCTGTGGCTGCAAACTCGAGTCACTGCTCCCGGGCTTTCGGCTCTGGCATTTTCTACAATGTCTGTGCGGTCTCCCATCCAAGCTGCCCGAGTTCGCGCCGTTCGGGATTGCCAGTTGTACCCACTTAATTTAGAGGAAGAGAGTGGCGTGTGCAGCCTTCCTGTACCCAGCCCCTTGGGCCCCATGAGCAAGGTCCAAGAGGAATTTTGTTTTTACTTTGTAGTTAGCAAATTAATGAAGTTCACTGGGACGTAGCGCTTTATTTTCGTTTGTTCTTACCTCCAGCCTTTCTCCCCGTTTGGACCCATTCCCCAAATTGCTCCTGCGTTCATGTTTTAGGTTTCATTGTCTTTTTCTTATCCCCATTACACCTGTTTCTCCTTTGTGGGACTTTCCATTATTTATTTGATGCAGGGTCTCACTGATCTGTTCTGGCTGGCCTCGAACTCCCACTTGAGAGAGAGAAAAACCACTACCTCCCTTTGGCTTCTTTATGAAATTCTTAGTTTGCTTTTTATGAAAAAAGTCACATTCTTACTCATCAATTCCTGCCCACATGACAGGCTCGTTTCTGGTGCTGGAGACATCAAGCTTACTAAAGATGGCAATGTGCTGCTTCATGAAATGGTAAGAGACGTACTCGATTCGGCAGCACACATACTAAAATTCCAACGTTACAGACAAGATTAGCATGGCCTGGGCAAGGGTGACACACAGATTCAAGAAGCCTTCCATATTTCTGTGGGTTGAGGTGTTGAGGCAGCCAAGGCTTGCCTGTACACTGACTTGGGACCATTTAATAAAAGGGTGCACCTTACAAACAGAAGAAAAAAATTGTAAGAGCCAAGATCTTTACCTCCCATTCATTCTTGTGGTGGATGAAAGTCTTCATTAGCTCATCATTCCTTTCAAACAGAAATATAGGAAGTAATATACTGGGTGAGATGCTCTATAGAGTCTAACAAATGTATTTGGATCCCGGTTTGTTTTGTTTGTATAGAAAATTTCTTGCTGCACAGATAAACCCTATCGAAAAACAACGAAAAAAGCTTCTCTGTTTGCTTTAGCCAAGGATAGTAGCATGTCTTTAATCTCAGTACTCAGCAAGATCAGATCTCTGAGTTCAAAGCCAGGCATGGCTACATATATAGTGAGACCCTGTCTCACAAACAGGGCAACCTGGAAATAAAAGCAAAAGTAAACCCTCATCTTTCCACTAAACTACAGGAAAAATAATTCTTTCTTGCTTCTTCTTCTTCTTTTTTTTTTTTTAAGGATAGCTCTCACTGTGTAGCTCTGGCTGGCCTTACATTCACAGCGATTACCTGCTTCTGCCTCCTGAACACTGGGATTAAAGTTGCCCACCTCGTGCCGGGCTAGCTGTTTTTTATTATAGTTATTGTTTTTGTCCAGGGATCAAATTAAGTTGACCCATTTCCCTCACCAGAACTTTCAGGTCCTGTAGTTCAAATCCCAGAAAAGAGAATGACTTGAAAATCCAAGCAAAATGTCGCCAAGCTGGCTTTAAAAGAAGTCTGTCTTGTGTTTTACCCCGGGTAATGTTTTAAATAGTTCTTTTTCTACTTTCAGCAAATTCAACACCCAACAGCCTCTTTAATAGCAAAAGTAGCTACAGCCCAGGATGACATAACTGGTGATGGTACTACGTCCAATGTCCTAATCATTGGGGAGCTGCTGAAACAAGCTGACCTCTACATTTCTGAGGTACATTTATAAACATGTCACAGACATGGTCATAAAGAAAAATTAGTTTAAAAAAAATGGAACGAGAGCAAGTGAGAAAAAAGAAAAAACTAGGGCTTCAGTGTCACATCTAGAACACAGGGCCTTTTTATATATATTTTAAAATGATGTGAATTAGCTTCAGACAAGATTAGAACCTCTTACAGCAAAATTTTAGAAGCCAGTTTTGAATTTTGTGTTTGTGGATTGCACGGTGAACACCCAAGTGTGCTTTGTAGTTCCCTTGGCCTTGACTCTGTGCTAGAGTAAAGTCTGTTCTTTTCCTCTGCATTGGAAGGAGTACTATGTCCTTTTAAATGTATTCAGAAAATCAGCACATCCTCTTATCTTAATTGTATTAAGTATTAATGACCTAAGTGTCCCATCAAATATTATTTAGTGAAGTATGATTGTAGCTAATTGAAGATTCAAGTGTTGGGGGTGGTTTTATGACTATCTTGATTATAGGGTCTTCACCCCAGAATAATCACTGAAGGTTTTGAAGCTGCAAAAGAAAAGGCACTCCAGTTTTTGGAACAAGTCAAAGTAAGCAAAGAGATGGACAGAGAAACACTCGTTGATGTGGCCAGAACATCTCTGCGAACTAAAGTTCATGCTGAACTTGCAGATGTCTTAACAGAGGTTTGTATTAAACAATAGGTACATGTGGTAGAATGCACAGAGAACGTCTTATGTAAATGGCTATGTGGCATTACAAACATAGCATCTTCACAGGAATGCTGTGTAGAATAACGGGTTAAGGTTTTTCTCTAGCAGTAATAAACTTAAATCTGTCTTCAAAGCGGGAAGGCTAAATTGTTGCCACGCCAGGTTTGGGAAGGATAATTGATACTGTTTTAGAAAGCCTCTAGTCCAGTGGGTTTGCTTTTTTGCACCTTTATAGGGACTGGTAGTTTGATTTGTTATGGTCAAATCAGACTAACATTTCTCTCTGATACTTTATTTGGGGAACTTTCAAACTTTCTGCTAATTCTCAATAAAATAAATTTGTTGTAAAAATAAATTGTTTTAAGATATAGTTATTTGTGTTTGGGGATAGGGTGAGTTTGAAATACATTCTCCCTAATCTTTTCTTCAGTCCTTTTGTTCTTCTAAGGGCTGAGATTAGAGGCCTGTGCCACCGTCCGTGGCCCACCAACCATACCCAATGATTTACCTGTGTTCACTATAAAATAATAGCAGTGTTGACAATTGTTGAGGCAATTGCAGGTTGAAATTTTAGAGACAAATTACTTTTAGCCTTTTACATTTTTCTAAAGAACAGCTAAAGTGTGTCAACTTCTACAGACTAAATTTATTGATGGTTATCTCCTAGGCTGTAGTGGACTCCATTTTGTCCATTAAGAAAAAAGATGAACCCATTGACCTCTTCATGGTTGAGATCATGGAGATGAAGCATAAATCTGAAACTGATACAAGGTAGGTAAGAGAATGTTTTTCTGTCACTGAGCTGCTGTCTAGGATAGGTTGGTGGGTGTAGGATTTGCTTTAAATACCATGCACTGTTGAAATGAGGGAGGGCTGTGCTGTGTTTGTGGTCAGTATGATCAGAAATAGGAATATTAATGAGCATTTATTGTTATGCTAGGGTGCAGTACATAACAGAAAGACTGCTGGTTAAAACTTTGTCAAAGACTCTAGCTCGAGAATATTTCTTTAAGGGAGTTAAAGTGATCACAGTTTGGTTGTCTGCTGGTTGTAGACATGCGTAGTTGATATTTTTGTTCGGGTGTCCTGTGTCTTAGAACACTGATTTTTCACATCTGACCTTAGTCAGATCTGACTGAAGAGTTTTTAAACAGCTTTAGAAATTAGTAGACCTGTGTGAAAATTACTGCTTTAGCAGTTACTTCTTTTTATTTTATCGGTATGTGTCCCATCTGGTATGTGTAAATAGAAGTGGTATAGATTTTCCTGTTTTATAGCTTAATCAGAGGGCTGGTTTTGGATCATGGAGCACGGCATCCTGATATGAAGAAAAGAGTGGAAAACGCCTACATCCTTACTTGCAACGTGTCCTTAGAATATGAGAAAACGTGAGTTCATGACCCCTTCATGGCGGGAGGAGGTTGACATTTTCTCACTGTAAGGATGGTAATGAAAACATGGGGACTTAAGGTTTGTATAGCTCAGTGTTAGAGTACTTGCTTAGAAAGTGTTCAACCTAATGCAGTCCCCTCAGTCCTGTTAAAACTAAGGTAAATACGGAAATCTCCTTTTCTGCCCCCCCCCTTTTTTTAATAGAGAAGTGAATTCTGGATTTTTTTACAAGAGTGCAGAAGAGAGAGAAAAGCTAGTGAAGGCTGAAAGAAAATTCATTGAAGATAGAGTTAAGAAAATAATAGAACTGAAAAAGAAAGTCTGTGGTGATTCTGATAAAGGATTTGTCGTCATTAATCAAAAGGTAAGAATTTAGAAATTTAGAATTAGTCTTGTTTATATTAAGGTGAAGGCTATTGAAAATTTTTTGTTTTTATCCAGGGGATTGACCCCTTTTCCTTAGATGCCCTTGCAAAAGAAGGTATTGTAGCTCTGCGCAGAGCCAAGAGGAGAAACATGGAGAGGTGAGTGAGGCCAGCTTGATACTGTGCAGAGGAGTTAGAATTACTCCTTTTGCAGTTCTGCCTGTATTTGCATTTTATTAGCATGTATTAATTGAATAAGATGATTGATTTCATTATTTATATAAGCATATGATGTGCTTTGGTCATTTTCTCACACATTCCCCATTACTCTAGTTCCTTTCTGTCCCTGTCGCTAGCTCTTCTTTCCAAATAGTCTATTTTTGTTTGCCTTTTAAAATATTTTTAGCCAGGTATGGTATCGCACACCTTTGATCCCAATGCTTGGGAGATATAGGAGGATGGATCTCTTGAGTTCGAGGCCAGCCAGGGCTGTTGCACAGAAAAACCTTATCTAAAACACCAAAACCAAAAAAACAATTGGCCAGGATTGCACATACTCGTTTCATTGTGGAAATCTATGAATTAAAAAATCTACCTTGGGCTGGAGAGGTGGCTCAGTGATTAAGAGCACAGTCTGCTCTTCCAGAGGTCATGAATGAGTTCAATTCCCAGCGACCACATGGTGGCTCACAACCATCTATAAAGTGAATTGATAACCCTCTTCTGGCTAATGTAAATGCAGATAGAACACTCATGCATAATATAAATAATTTTTTTTAAATCTGCCTTATTTAAACTCTTCTGTGAATGAGTTCAAGTGTGTGCATGCCACATCACATTGACAGAGAGAGTCCAAGGACAGCTTGCAGGAGTCCTTGTACCATGTGGGTCCCAGGGAACTGAGGTTCACAGGTTTAGTCTTTAGCTTTGAGGTGCTGTCACAAGCCCCCAGTCTTACCATGTGACAAAGGCAGAACTGTGGTCATAATCACTGTCATCTCACTTCATTGCTTTCTTCCCCTGGCCTTTGACACCTTCTGTGAGTGGATTGAGGATATTTGTCTTTTTCCGTGTCTTTAAATTTTTTAGACTTTAAGACAGGGCCAGGTGGCCTCAAATGCAAAGAGATCTGTCTACCTCTGACATCTAGTGCTGCTATTAAAGGCATGTGCCACCATACCATCTGTATTTTGCATATATATGTGTGTGCTATAGGCATTCAGTATCCACAGAGGTCAGCTTAGGGCACTGACTAGGACTGGGGAGTTACAGATCCTCAGTCAACATGTGAGTGTTCTGGGTTGAGCTTGGGTCCTTTGCAAGAGACTCTAGGTACTCTGCCGCCCCATCTCTCCTACCCATTTGTTTTTATTAGTTTTAGAGAAAACTGAAAGTGGAAAGTGCATGTTTAAAATGTACATACAGGAGCATCAGCCTGGTAGATTTTGAGGCAGGGTCTCAGTATAAACCAGGATGACATCTAGGTCTAAAGGCAACATCAGGAGGATAGTATGTTAGGTATGGTTGTGCACAAAGCTGTAATTCGGCCTCCACTTGGGAAGTGGAGGCAGT